GAAGCGCTCTCCTGGAGAGCCGCCGGTGTTCAAGGCGTCACCTCTGCCAGTAGATCACATGCTTCCTACTCTAGTCTCTGAGGAGTCGGTAGAGCCTAGTGGTCCATACGTAGAGCTGGTGGGTTGCCTCATGTACCTTATGACTTGCACTCATCCAGATCTTGCATACCCTCTCAGCATCCAGGCTCGCTTTGTGGCGACAAGCAGACACCAACCACACCACTAGTCGGCCGCTGAGAGGGTTTGCGTTATCTAGTAAGTACACCGGGCATGTGGCTAGTGCGAGGAGGACGCAGGCCAGTGATCCTTACAGGGCACACAGACGCTTCATGGGCGGACGACGCTGAGACGCTCAGGTCCTCACTGGGCTACTGCTTTCGCCTTTGGTGCAGGTGCCATCTCGTGGAGGTCCACCCCCTCATCGTCTATTGCACAGTCTAGGTGTGAGGCTGAGATCTACGCAGGTGCCATGGCGGCAGAGGAGCTCCGCTGGCTAACTTTCTTGCTCACAAACTTTGGTGAGCAACCTAGCTCTGCCCCGGTCCTGTCCGCTGACAACAGGGCCATGATCAGGCCCATAGTTATTAGGCCTTTTATGCTGATTTTGATTTTATTTTTTCAGGGTGTTCTCTTGCACCGACCCTGATGAATCAGCCTTGAAAACGAAAAAACCAGGGCCAACCAGTAAGAAAACCACTAACCAAAAACTGATTTTCAGGGTGTTCTCCTAAAACGTGGCGTAAAACGAATCAGCGTGGCCTAAAACGAATTTGATGGCCTGGCCATGATCCTCCTGTGTCAGGAGCCTCGACTAGAGGGCAGAGCGAAGCACATCCAGTTCCGGTACTTCCTCCTGCGCGAGCTACAGCAGCGCCGCCAGGCCCCCGTTGTACACTTGGCCTCTCGGTGCCAACACAGCTGATATTTTTACTAAGGCGCTTGCGCGTAAAGATCACAAGGCGCTTGCGCTTGCGCTTGCGCTTGCGGCATTGTGTACAGCTTGGTCTAGTTCCTGTAGATCCTCACTAGCTAGGGCCTTGATTGTGTACTACTCGTCTTATATATTCTCCTGACTGGCCTTGTGGCCTTTCTTTCAGTGGCCAGACTAGTAGTGCCGCCCTGGTTTGCTCGTCTTCTTTGAACTCTTCTGACTGGTCTTCGGACCCTTGCCTCAGAGGTTGGACTAGTAGTGCCATCTTGAGCTGCGGGTCTCTTGCCCGGCATAGCCCCTTGTGTAGCCTAGGGGGTGTGTCAACATATTTATATATTGTTATAGGCTAGATAGGTGCATGCTTATAGAGAGTACAGCACCGTAGCACAAAACCTGCCTATATGCCTCATTCTAGTCATTGCGTTATTCTGATAATAGCTCCCTCGTATCCAGGCCCTCTGATTGGTTTTAAGTCATCCTGATTACAAAGGACTGCCCCTGGCTTTTTCCCTGAATTTTCATAAGTCCCCAAATTTTTGTCCTTAGTCGACAGGATTGTGTGGGAGAAAAATGCTGAATGGACAGATATAGATTGTGCTTTTCCCCTGATTGGCAAAATGACGAAGAAATTGAAAAGCAAAGCAGTTTAGTCGAAATTATCAAGATCGACTACATTGTCACTACCTACACCACCCTCTGCCTCTTCTGCTACTCCCTTCCCCTTCTTCGAGCCGTCTTGCTTGGCCTGAGGGGTATGGCTGAATGGCTTACGCTTCTTGTTAGCGCGCCATATCTCTACCACAGCATCATAGTCCGGGTTGTAGTCTAACAATGACATGCACATCAGGTCACTAAGCCTAGTGTCTTTAAGGCTGCCACACAGCCAGCTCTTAATCACATTCTGCCTAGAGAATCCACGCTCACACTCCACGGTGGTGAGAGGAAGCACTGCCACCGCCATCCACAGCTTCATCAGGTTTGGGTTAGAATCCTGCCAGTCAGGTGTCTTCAGCATGGCCATGAGCCCAGTGTGAAAGCTTCGGTCGGCCTGGGAAGAGCAGCAATGACAGGGCAGAAATGAGGCAGCTCCCTCATGGCTGCACGCTTGTCAATGCCAGGAAGAATCGCCTCTGCCTCATCTGCGCGGTAAAGCGTAACGAGGGAGAAGAACCAGTCAAGGCACTGGGCCTTGCGTGCAGCTCTCTCCTAGTTAGGGGGCCAGAGGTTGACAGAGAAGAGGCGGCAGCCAGAGATCTTTCCCAGATCACCCAGCCGCTCCTTCAAGTTCGACACCATGCCTGTCGCCATCGCCACGCATAGATCCTGGCACGCATCGTGATCGCTCTCCTTCGGATAACCGGGCAAGCGATCTTGATGCAGCACGAAGGTAAAGGAAGCCGGACGGCCGTCGGAGTCAACGCCCTCAGCGGTGACCTCGCGAGACCCGTCGGGCCGTGACGGGTGAGGAAGATGGAGAGACGGTCTTTCGGTCCCCCGCCGAAGTCTTCACCGTCCCCGTAGCGGCTCTGCAGCAAGGTTGTTGTGCGGATGATCTGCGCGTGGACGGCCAAGTACTCCAGCTGAGGTTTGGGCGGGGAAGAGGAGGGGAGGAAGGGCGGGGAAGGTGTATATACATAAACAGGGTGATTTAGTAACAACTCAATGTCATAGTAGCGAAAAACTCACCTGACGCTCCTGGAAGGACTTGTTGAGGATATTTAGCTGCTCCAGTACATCAGCAAGGAACATGACAAGGAACCAGAAGCGGTAGCTTGTCACTATCCTGGAGAGCCAGGTGTCCGTCCACTCGGAGAGCATGACGACGATGGCGGGTAGAACCTTAACTAACCTAATGACAGCCTCACCGCGGGAGAGCCATCAGATGTTATGAATGCCTTGAAGTTCGAGGTTCGTCGAGGTGAAGATATCCTGCAGGTCCAAGAAGCGCTGGTGCCATGGGCCGGAGCGTTCGAAGTACTCAGCGAGCTCCTTGATGACATCATCAATCATCTTGAACGCCGGTAAGGAATCCGCCGATGCTTTAGCTGCCAGTGCCTTTCTGGAGGGTGGTAAAACGAACAGAAAATGGTACATATCGGGCCTTGGGAGTGGGGTAATACACATTGCACATGCGGAAACCACCAGTGCAGTTAACCAGAGGTACAAGAGCGGTTAACAACAAGGCTCACCTGTGCGCAATACAGTGACACGACACCAAGTGCGGAATCTGCATCCGCAGCCGCGTCACAAGCCCAACCTTCGACCCCATCATCACGGCAGCGCCATCGGTGCTTATGCCCACGACCCGCTGGAGGTAGACACCAATGGCGTTGAGGTGAGACAGGAGTAGAGCGAGCAAAGAAGCAGCGTCGGCCTTGTCGACGCTCAGAAGGGCCAGGTATTCGCAGACGAGTTGGTTGTCGCGGATGAAGTGCGCAAACACGATGAGGTGCTTGCCGCGGCAGTGGTCTGTGCTCTCATCGATGCTCAAGCCAATGAGCAGGCTCCTCAGAAGGTGGTCCAACTGTGTTGTTTGCAGCCAGGTTGCCATGGACTGTGTGAACTCCCCGTACCCATAACTGCAGCAGTGAAAGGCATACGCATAATTAGTATGCTGAAATATAAACATTCGTCACGCATGATAAGTGCATGCAAAACAAAATTAAACAACACACAACAATACCTGTTGTAGTACGTGCCATAGGTCTGCTCGGGGAAGTGCTCGTGCCGACGTTTGCTGAGGTAGCGCACGAGCCTGATCCAGTTTTCCATCAGCTCGTTGCCTTTGCAGCAAAAGTAGAGCGCGTCAAGCAGCGCAGTCATCTGGTTGGTTGCGTCCTGCAGCAGCGCCTGCTGTTTCGTCACGGCTAGGCGATGCTTGGCCGACCCCGCGTGCCTGTTGAATGCCTGCGTCTGCCCGTCTGTCAGCCCTGTGCCGTGTTTGCCGGCTTTCCCTCTGAGTCCTGCATGCTCAAGGCACAGACTGCATTTAAACGCAGGGAATCCAGCGTCAGTCTTTAAAATCATAAGCCAGGGAAACCGCTCGTACCACCGCGTATTAAACCTGCTGAGGGCTTCGCCGTAGACATCCTCAGGTGATCGAGACTTGTCGGATGCAGCGGAAGGGTCGTCGCCATCGCTGTCGTCATCTTCGCACATGGCTGAGGGGCGTGGCGTCGTCGGCTGACCGCCTGGGAAACTCCACAGGGTGGTTTGCCGGTATCGACCGCCAGGTTTCACGGGGGTAGCGAAACCTGGACTACAGGTAAAAGCATCAGCCAGCGATGGGCCTGGACTAGGCGCGGAAGTCGGCTCGACAACAGCTTGAGATGTTGAGGCGACCGACTGCGAGGCGCATAGGGGGTTCTGTTTCGTTGGAGGGTTACGAGGAGCCTTTGGGAAAGTACCTACCGTTGAAAGGAGCATGTCAAGCCCAGTGGGGGCTTCGGCACGGTGACTGCCGCTGTCGTCGCCATCGTCATCCAATCCCACGTCGCCTGACTCAGGCATGAGGACGGGGCTCACTAGGGTGGTCGACGAGCAGAGACGCGTGACGGAGGGGTTGTAAAACAACGACACTGCATGGGGAAGGTCACGATGGGAGAGGCTGAAGCAGTGGCTGGTTTAACAGTGGGAAGAAACATATGAAGAAGACGCAGGGGGGAAAGGGAACGATGGCGAGGCGCGAACAGTTTGCCAGCCATGCACAGTTGGCCGGACCGGATTCCTGAATCCGGGCCGGACCGAAACAAGCACGGTGCATGCGCGGCGACGTCGAACTGGAGTGTGGTGTTGAAGCTGGGTCATCATCGCTGGCGTACAGTGATTAGCTATTCAGGCAACATTTACATGTGCAACCAATCCACGCATGCAGCCAAACTGTGTGCTGGCCGACCCTCAAACCAATGCCGTGACGTGAGGCAGCGCGGCAACATGTGAGTCACCAAGCGATGCCTGCAGGCAGGAACCTAGCAGTCAGGCCAGATTTATGAGGGAATATGCGCATATCGCTGTAATTTTGGGAGGGACCAGCAAATCACGCCTTTGGCAAAATCAGAACCCATGCGCGATACAAGTCTGAAATTTCAGGATCCCTTACAAAAAAAAACTGTGCTGCTGACAAAAAAAAACCCTGAAATATCAGGAAATGCCAAAACCAAAACCCTAGCAAATCAGGGCCGGTACCCCTCAACACCCTGTTTTTTTCCTGAATCAGGAATCCTAATATCCAGAACTGTATCTGCCTCTAGAGCAGGATGGCACGGAAAGCACCACTTCATTTGCGAATGCGAAGGCGAAGCAAAGCATAACCAGGTTGCTGTGCAACAATAGAAGCGCGGTACGAGGGCAAGGCGAACAATGCCCCCACGTACGCCTCTTCTGCCAACACCAACACAGTCTCCATCCCCCCCTCCACCCCCCCCTCCATCCCCCCCTCCATCCCCCCCTCCATCCCCCCCTCCATCCCCCCCTCCATTCCCCCCTCCATTGCCCTATCCGTTCCCCTCTCCAACCCCCTCTCTCCCGTCCTTTCCCCCTGCGCTCTCATTCTCGCTGCAAGCCCTTCCAACACGCTGCGTGCTTGCTCCGGCAACTCTATGAAAGCCACGGGGCGCTGAGCGTAGAACACCACACTGGGCATGCGCGCACCCACCATCACCATCGGCTCTGTGGCTGGTGCTGCTGCTGGTGCTGGTGCATCCACAATTCCTCCAGGTCCCAATGCGTGTGACCCTACGGGCGCTTCGCGACCTGCCTCTACTCCAGCACCTCTCTGTCCCTCCAGTCTACTACTGACACTTGATCTTTCCGAGTGTGACTGTATGGGGGGCAGCAGAGAGGCAGCAGTGAGGGCAAGCTCTCTAGAGGGGCGTTGGAGGATGGAGTCTGCAATGAGGAGAGAGGGGCGGAGGAAGAGCGGGAGGAGGAGGAGGACGAGGGACGAGTGGACGATGAGCAGGGGGGACACAGGAGAGAGGCGGATAAAGTGGGGTAGCTGATGGGGCGAGGAGAGGGGAGATGCGGTGGGAGACGACGGTGACGTTGCCGAGGGGGAGGAGGGAGAGGAGGGAGAGGAGGGAGAGGAGGGAGACGAGGGAGACGAGGGAGAGGAGGGAGAGGAGGGAGAGGAGGGAGAGGAGGGAGAGGATAGAGGATTACGAGCAGCAGCAAGAGCAGAGATGGCAGCGCAGGAAGCAGAAGCAGCAGCGAAGAGAGCAGAGGCGCGCCAGTGCAGTTTGTGTTGGGCCATCAGACCTGCTATGGCCGCAGCCTTGGGGTCTCCTAGAGACAGCTGCTGGAGCAGCGAGGGCAGGAGTGCAAAGGCGAGAGAGAGGAGGACGAAGACTGATGCAGAGAGGAGGGCGGAGAGAGGCGTACCAGATGGGGGTAGAGGAGGGAACGAGGGGAGGATCGAGGGGGTTTGGAAGGGATGGGATGGTTGTGCAGGCTGTGGGTTTGTGGATGGGTGTGGGCTGTGTGGTGTTGATGGGGGCTGGGAAGACGGCGGTTTGAGGAGGCCTGCAGCCAGTACGATAGCGACACCTGGCGCGATGGGAAGGTAGTAGGATGGGAGCTGGGAGCGGGAGAGAGCAAGCAAGCCAAAGCCAGACACCACCCACACTAGACCCAGCAGCACCAGATCCCCCCCCCTCTCCTTCCCACCTGTCTGTGATTGCCCTCTCTCCTCACGCTCCCCGTTTTCCCATCTCTTCTCCTCGCCTTCTTCCCAACCCCCTTGGTCTCCCCGCCCTCCCTTTCCTTCCTCCCTCTCATCCCTCCCCCCCCTCCACCTATATCGATCCATGACAACACCAGCAGCAGCAGTGGCTGTGTGCAGGAACGCAGGCGGGACGAGCAGCGACCAGGGGAAATACAGCAGCAGGCAGGCTAGTAACGGGTACAGGACCGGCCTGTTCCCATGGTGGTTCACGCCCTTTGCGAATCGCTCCCAGTGATGGTACCCAAAGAACGTGCTCATATACATGCTGCCATGGCGCTTACCCATGGCTACGAACCAGGGGAGAACTGTGAGGAGAGCGGTGAGGATGCATGGGAGGAAGGGGAGCTCTTGGAAAAAGAAAGAGCGTACAGACGAGAGGAATGCGAGAGGGGAGCGGAGGGAGAAGGTCCCGGAGAGAGTGAGAAAGAGGGAGAGGACGAGGCACGGGAGGAGGATCCCCAGCGGGCCTTTGGTAAGGCATGCAGCGGAGAGGGAGAGAGCGGAGAGGAGGTAGAGGGAGGAGCGGTGGGAGGCATAGGCCCAGAAGAAGGAGAGGATGGCAGTGGCAGTGGTGGCGAGGAAAGGGGCGTCGGAGACGGCGACTGAGCCCCAGAGGAAGGGGCCGAGAGAGAGGGCGAATATGGGTGCAACAGTGAACGCTGCTGGCCAGTGGAGGGCGTGGGGGAGGGTTGGTGGGGGAGGGGGAGAAGGAAGGGCGCTAGGGGATGTTGTTTCGACACATTGGTCTACGATGGATTGTGCAGCTGACTCTTGCTGCCGCTGCTGCTGCTGCTGCTGCTGCTGCTGCTGCTGCTGCTGCTGCTGCTGCTGCTGCTGGGGTTGGGGAAGGCCGAAGCGGAGGGCGGTGAGGGAGAGGAGGACGAGAGTGAACGAGAGGCAGAGAGCAGACGGCAGGCGCAGCGCTGCAACCCCTGCTGCTGCTGCAGCTGCTCCTGCTGCTCCTGCTGCTGCCCCTGCTCCTGCTGCTCCTGCTGCTCCTGCTCCCATCAACCCACCACCACCCACGGCCTTGAGCGCGACCCCCATGAGCCAGTAGGAAAGCGGCGGCTTATCGAACCTTGGGTGTGCGTTGAACTGCGGAGTGACCCAGTCGCCAGTAAGCACCATCTGCCTGGCTGCCTCGGCAAAGAGTGGCTCTGTGTCGTCGACTAAGCCCACGAGATAAGGGAAGAGGGGGAATGGGGGGGAGGAAGGGAGAGCGGGGGGGAAGGCAGGGAGAGAGGGAGCAGGGGGAAGGGGGGGTGCGGGGGAGAGATGGGGGAAGAAGAGGGGGAGGAGGGGGAGGAGCCAGGAGGAGAGGGCGAGGAGGAGGAGCCACGCGGTGAGGGAGAGGGGGAGGAGAGGGGCGGGGAGGGAGAGGGAAGATCCGGGGGGAGGATTGGCGGAAGATCCGTTGGAAGATGCGGCAGAAGGCGCTTGAGGATGATGGGCGTCGGACGAATCAGGGAGGAGGGGGTCGGAGGAACCGGCGTGGGCGTGGGAGGGAGGAAGGCGACGGGAATGGGGAGGAGGTGAGGGGTGTGAGTCTGGGGAGGGGTTGGGAAGGGAGGAGGAGGGTGGAGCGGAGTGCGCACTGCGGCAGAGGAGGCGGGGGCAGAAGAGCAGGGAATCGCCCATGATACGGCCATTCAGTGACGTGCGCCGTCTCCTTTGCGCGCGCGCAACAGCCCCTCCCGCAACGGTACCCCCGGCGCCCGCTCCGTGGCTCAGCGTGCCTCCGCGCCCTCGCCATGCGCCGTCACCGCGCCGTGCCATACTGACGGAAAGCGGCTCACACTGAGTATGACCATGGCCGTTACTGTAAATTCCACTGTAGCTGATACTGTGACCGTTACTGTTACTGTCAGCGGCGTTACTGTGAGCGCTACAGAGATGCCGCCCTACGCCAATCATGCACCCAGCAATACCGCACCCCGCGGCAGCGCCATGCCACGTGGCAGCAGCAGCAGCAGCAGCAGCAGCTGCTGCGGTTGCCGTTGCGCCGGGAGCGAGGGACGTGAGGTGTGGCGATCGCATCCCAAACATAAGAACTGACTCCATGCCGTGAGATGCTGCCTCGCGAGCCTCGCCGGACTTGCTGCGTCTCGCACGATCGTCCGCGCCTGCGCGATCTCCGGGCGCTGCGATCTCGAATCTGCGCTCCAGGCAATACGCGCGCTGCGATTCGCGCTTGACCGCTGCAGTTTGGTCCGCGTCTCCGCTCTTGACGGAAGCCTACTTCTTCTGTGCCGAAAATCCGACCAAATCTCGCGGTGTCTGCGCCGGGAGCCCCGCCCGCTATTTGAGTCAAATGCCGGCCCCGTTGGAAAAGGCGAATTCGCAGGCAAACCGGACGAAACACCAGCGATCTCCCATTCCTCCCATTCCCATTTACAATGCGTCCTCTCTCCCCGTTCCTCTGTCGCGCCAGTTCTTTCCGCCACGTCACATCGCATACGCCATGGTGCCTCCAACGCACTCCGCAGGTTTTTGTCTCCCCGATAGTGGGCTCTCAACTCAAGTGGACCCTTACTGATGCCACGAGCAGCCTTAGGCTCAGTCGCAGGAGTCTTGGCAAGATTGCTGACGAAAGTGCCCCACGCTTATGGCTGTAAGGCTCGCTCAAACCTAAATTGGACATATTCAAAATCCAAGTACAGTACAGTGACCATTTGCCAAGGTACTGTAGTACAGTGACTTTAATGGTCAACTTGGCCTTTTTCAGGGTGCGACTTGCGAGAGTTTATACGCAATGTAAGCTGGAAAAAAAAACCGGCATTTTGAGCACTTTCATGTCATGTGGGGCCTCCCAATCCACCTTTTATAAGCAGGTTAAGCTATAACCTGTGCTTGAAGCGGTATCGAAGCACAACTCCATGCTTCGTGCATCGCGTACAACTTCTTCCTCCCTACCTCCAGAGAATGTGGTATGCGGTTACTGAATTTCGACTGGTGCCTTGGTCGCTTACTTTCACCTTTCATTGATCTCTGTTCTTTCAGTCTGCCAACATAAACGGTCAATACTGCTTCTCAGATAATCCGACGCTCGCCTTGCATTGGGTGCTGCGAATATGGATTTTCCGCAGCGGGTGGACGCCGAGAGCGTGCGGGAGCTGCTGCGCCTTCTCCGCGCGCGCGGGGGGCGCACGTGCGCCGCGCTGCTGGCCGAAGCTCTGCGCGGAAAGTGGGGGATTTGCGCGGATGGGGAAAACGGGGGCGGGGTGCGGGAAGGTGGAACAGAAAGACGAGAGCCGAGTGAGGAGAGGGGTGGAAGAGAGGACGATGATTGGAGGGGGGACGGGGATTGGACAGAAGAAGGGGATGGGGGGGAGGACGGGGAGGAGAGAGAGCGGAAGAGGCGGAAGAGAGAGGCAGAGAAGGGGGGAAGTGGAGAGGGAGGGGAGGAGGGGAGAGTGGAAGAGAGAGAAGATGAGAAAACAGAGGCACATGCTAGAGATGGTGATTGTAGATTTGGTGCCCCTACTGATTCTGATGCTGATGGCGATGGCGCTGGTGGGTCCAATGCTGACGTGTCACTGCGGGCCGTGCATGAGGTAGCATGGGAGCACATCCACGGCGGCCCATGGAAGGACGTCCACGTGGCATGGCGCGACGCATACGCGCTCACATGCCTTGCCATGGCCACAACAGCTATTGCTGCCTCTAACCCCACTGCTTCCCCTGCTGCTCCTGCTACTCCTGCTGCTGCAGTTTCCGCTGCTACTGCCACCGCCACCACCACCCCCCTCCTTCTGAACAAGCCTGCTGTTACCACCACAGCTACCCCGACCCTCCCAACCCCTGCTCGACCCACCACAGCTGTCACCGCCACCACCACCTCCTCCGCCACTGCTCACACCAGCAGCGGCACGAGCAAGCATTTTCTGGCATCCCTCCGACTTCTGGACCTGGGTCTGATGCTGGGCGGCAACATGTTCCGCGCGGCTATCAATGTGGCAGTGCGCGAGATAGAGGCGCGGGTGAAGGCTGAGGGGCGGCAACATGTTCCGCGCGGCTATCAATGTGGCAGTGCGCGAGATAGAGACGCAGGTGAAGACGCGGAGGGGGAGAGGGGGAAGGAGTGGGGGGAACGGGAGGAGGGGAAGAGGAGCGAGGAGCAACGGCAGCAGCGGCAACAGCAGGAGCAACCGCAGGAGGCGCAGCAACAGCAGCAGCAAGAACAAGGGCGCACACTGAGAGGGCAAACACCGGCCGAAAACCCACCACCCCACACCACTCCCCTATTCTCCCATCCCTTCACCCCTCCCATCGCCTCCCCCACCCCCCCAGTCCCCCTCCCCCCCCGCGCCTTCTCCTCTCTCCCCATGCCACGTGCCCACCTGCCGTCCCTCGAGCGCTTCCTCCAACACTACATGCTGCCAGGCGTGCCCGTGCTGCTGCAGGGGGTGATCGCCCACTGGCCTGCACTAAAACGCTGGGCGGATTGGGACTATCTGAAGAGAGTGGCTGGCGCCCGCACCGTGCCAGTTGAGGTGAGCAAGGGGCTACTTGTGCGTGCTGGCATGCCTGTTTTTTGCTCAGAACTCCTCTTTAGACCCTACGTGTGTGTGGGGATGCCTGTCGGCGTTGCTCCTAGGCGTGAGTGCGACCTGCACAGCCCCTGCCCGACTGATTGGGGCTAGCTCACAGACCCTGCCTGTTGAGGTCTATAGCTCCGTCCGACACCAACCTGGCAGGGTTGTTACAGATGCCCCTGTGCCAGGTCTAGCCGCGTGCGTCCGCCCTTCCCCATCGTTCCCTCCCACCCACCCCACCCCACCGCACCGCACACCCCCCACATGCGCGATCAGATGGGCAGCAGCTACCTGGCGGAGGGGTGGACGCAGGAGCTGATGACTCTGGGTGACTTCATTGACCGCCACGTCCTCACAGTGGCGCGCTGCTGCAGGGACGCGCCCAGACAAGCAGGGGGCAGGAGGGGCAGGAGAGGCACGAGTGCAGACCCACATCTGGCAGAGGAGCGGTGGAGGGAGAGGCAAGGGGAGGGGCAGGGGAAGGGGCAGGGGGAGAGGCAGGGGGAGGCCAAGACGGAGGCACAGAGGCAGGGGGAGGGGGAGAAGCAGAAGAAGGAGGGCTTGCGAGAGCAGGAGCAATTGGGAGGGGAGGAGCAAGAGGGGGAGGAGCAAATGGGGGAGGAGCAAGAGGGGGAGGAGCAAGAGGGGGAGGAGCAAGAGGGGGAGGAGCAAGAGGGGGAGGAACAAGAGGGGGAGGAGCAAGAGGGGGAGGAGAAAGAGGGGGAGGAGGAAAAGGGGGGCGAGGAGAGAGGGGATGAGAGGATAGGGTACCTTGCCCAGCACATGCTGTTTGAGCAGGTGGGTTGTGGGCTGCCATGCAACTAGTCCCCATGAGCCTATGAGCCCATGAGCCCATGAGCCCATGAGCCCATGAGCCCATGAGCCCATGAGCCCATGCGCCCATGAGCCCATGAGCCCATGAGCCCATGCGCCCATGAGCCCATGAGCCCATGAGCCCATGAGCCCATGCGCCCACGAGCCCATGAGCCCATGCGCCCACGAGCCCATGAGCCCATGAGCCCATGCGCCCATGAGCCCATGAGCCCATGAGCCCATGAGCCCATGCGCCCATGAGCCCATGAGCCCATGAGCCCATGCCCATGCGCCCATGAGCCCATGAGCCCATGAGCCCATGAGCCCATGCGCCCATGAGCCCATGAGCCCATGAGCCCATGAGCCCATGAGCCCATGAGCCCATGAGCCCATGCGCCCATGAGCCCATGAGCCCATGCGCCCATGCGCCCATGAGCCCATGAGCCCATGACCCCATGAGCCCATGAGCCCATGCGCCCATGAGCCCATGAGCCCATGCGCCCATGCGCCCATGAGCCCATGAGCCCATGACCCCATGAGCCCATGCGCCCACGAGCCCATGAGCCCATGAATCTATCCTTGAGTTCATGCGTCTATGAGACCCTCCGTTCCTCAAGGCCCCTAAAAGCTTGAAAAGGGTCGGATGATGGAAGGAAGTGACCCCAGGAAGAGCCCAGGAGGAGCACAACGAAGCCCAGGAGAAGCAAGAGCAGAAACAAGTCGCGAAACCTATCCTCTCCTTCTCAAACCCCCCCCCCCCCCCCCCCCTCCCTTCTTTCTCCCCATTGCCTCTATCCCCAGATTCCCATTCTGCGTGCCGACATCGACATTCCCCCCTACTGCTGGCTCAGGGCGCCTGCCCCCCACTCTCAAAGTCATGAGGACGACAGAGACGATACTGGAGGCAGCACTGAAGGCAGCAGGAAAGAAGAGGACGAAAAGGTCGGAAGGAAAGAGGAGGGAGAGGAGAAGGAGGGGGAGGAGGGGGAGGATCCGGTGGTGAATGCGTGGTTCGGACCGGCAGGAACATTGACGCCGCTGCACCATGATCCGTGCCACAACCTCTTCGCTCAGGTGAACCACCTCCCTTGCCGCACCGTGACCGAAAGAAAGTACGCTCGTGTGCTCAGTGCAGCAGGAAGAGCTCGTGAGCTTGCTTCCTCAAGTGTCGCGTGCCGTATCAACAGGTGGTGAGCCGTAAGTTTGTGCGTGTGTACAGCAACATTGCCTCTCGGATTGACTGCTCTAATCCCATCTTCGTTCTCCCTCATTCTCCCCGTCTCTGCCCGTGCTGCATCGCCAGGTGGCGGGACGCAAGTACGCGCGAGTGTTTAGCAGCAGAGGATCTTGAGTCAAATCATATGCCATCGTGCCATCCCCAGGTGGTGGGCCGCAAGTACGTGCGAGTGCACAGCAACAGAGGCTATTGAGTCGACTGATATGCCTTTGTGTTTCTCCTCTCTTCTATCTCTGCATGTGCCATGTCCCCAGGTGGTGGGCTGCAAGTACGTGCGAGTGTACAGCAGCAGGGAGGACCACCTGCTGTACGCACACACGGAGAAGATGCTCTCCAACTCCAGCCAGGTGAGCCCACATGCTCGCTCGCTGGTGTGACTCGTGGGGTGTGAGAAGGGGGGTGTGAGACGTGGGGTGTGACACACTCACCCCACACACTCCCCTCCCCCATCCCCTCCCCCATCCGCTCCCCCATCCCTTCCCCCATCCCCTCGTCTTCGTATGCACCCATCCTCTCCCCCGTCCCCTCCAGCAGTCCTCTCCCCCAACTTTCCGCCCCCATCCACTCCCCACATGCACTCCCCCCATCCACTCCCCCCATCCACTCCCCTGATCCACTCCCCCGCTCCACTCCCCCCATCCACTCCCCCTATCCACTCCCCCCATCCACTCCCCCCATCCACTCCCCCCATCCACTCCCCCCATCCACTCCCCCCATCCACTCCCCCATCCACTCCCCCCATCCACTCCGCCCATCCACTCCCCTCATCCACTCCGCCCATCCACACCCCCCCCATCCACTCCCCCCATCCACTCCCCCCGTCCACTCCCCCATCCACTCCCCCCATCTACTCCGCCCATCCACTCCCCCCATCCACTCCGCCCATCCACACCCGCCCATCAGGTGGATGTGGACGCGGTGGATGGGTGTGCCTTCCCGCTCTTCCCCCTGGCGCCCTTCTGGGACGTGCTGCTGGCTCCGGGCGACCTGCTCTACATCCCGCCGCGCTACTGGCACTACGTCAAGGCCACCCAGCCAAGCTGCTCCGTCAGCTTCTGGTGGAAACCCTCAAAGGCCTCCCACCCCTCAAACTAGTTTCTGGTGGAAACCCTCCCAACCCTCGAAGCCCTGCAAGCCTTCATGCTAGCTTCTGGTGGAACCCCTCCCAGCCCTTTAAACCCTCCCAGCCTTCAGAGCCGTCAGTCAGTACTTCCAGCTAGCTTCTGGTGAAAGCCCTCCCAACCCTTTAAACCCTCCAAACCCTCTGTCGAGTGCAAGTTAGCTAGCCTCTGTGGTATAGATGGGCCTACCAGTGTGTATCTCCATGGTTCTGCTGCAGTTGGTTTGTGCAAATGGCAAGTTGTGCACTCCTACTCTCCTCACAGGCTCACCTCACGCACTCACCTCACACACTCACCTCACAAGCTCACTCCACACGCACATCGTTCAAAGCGGTTCAGTCTGGCGTGGTGCAAGTCTGACTCGAGGTGAGTCAAGGTGTGGATGGTACTGGAAATTCAAAATGCGAGCAGCCCTCTGCATGTAACAGAGATGTGCTGAATAGAATTCATGCATCACAGAGAGGGTAGAAGCAAGATCAACCAACCACGACACTACCAAAAGATTGAAGCAGTGATCTGGCTTTGATGCACCTCAGGACAAGGCGCTATGCTCCATGGCTTGAGGTGCATCAAAGCTAAACCATTTCCAGACACTGGAGTGATCCCTTGTGCCACCACGCCACCCCACACCACAGCACACCACACCACAGCACAGAACACCACTCCTTTCCACACCACTCCACTCCACACTCTCTAGCATACCCAGCAGACCTTAGTGGCCCCAGCCACAACAGCCCCAGCCACTGCAGCCTCCAGCAGACTCAGTTCTTGCCACCGAATAAGCCTCCAAGGAAACTCCCCACGCCGCCTAATCCCCCCACGCCTCCGCCTTTTCCCCCCATGCTTCCGCCTCCTCCCCCCATGCCTCCGCCCCCTCCGCCCATCCCTCCCCCATTGGAGCCACCTCCATTGCCACCACCCCCTCCCATCCCTCCTCCGCCCATGCCCCCTCCGCCCATGCCCCCTCCGCCCATGCCCCCTCCACCCATGCCCCCTCGGCCAATGCCTCTCCCTGAACCGCCACCACCGCCCATGCTTCCTCCGTTGGAGCCTCCTCCATTACCACCCCCCCCTCCCATTCCCCCTCCGCCCATGCCCCCTCCGCCCATTCCCCCTCCTCCCATGCTTGCTCCGCCAGTGCCCTCTCCGCCCATGCCCGCTCCTCCCATGCTTCCTCCGCCAGTGCCCCCTCCGCCCATGCCCCCTCCGCCCATGCCCCCTCCGCCCATGCCTCCCCCGTTGGAGCCTCCTCCATTACCACCACCCCCTCCCATTCCCCTGCCATAATCACCACCCGCACCACTCCCATAGTCAGCACCATAATCACCACCGGTGTTTCCTGCACTGTAGTCACCACCAGAGTTGCCCCCGTTATAATCCCCACCAGGGTTGCCACCTCCGCCACCATTCCCTCCGTTGTAATCACCACCACTGCTCCCCCCGTTGTAGTCACCGCCACCTCCATTGTAATCCCCACTCCCACCGCCATAATCGCTGTCATTGCCCCCCCCGTTGTAGTCACCACCATTGCCATTGCCAGGGTCCCCCTGCCCGCCCTCAGCTCCCCCCTGCCCATTCCCAGGGACCCCCTGCCCGCCCCCTGCCCCCCCTTGTCCCCCCCCACATCCGCCCTGTCCGCCCCCTGCCCTCATCTGTCCCGCCCTAGACCCCCCTTGTCCGCCTCCAACTCCCCCCTGCCCGCCTCCTGGTCCGCCCTGTCCACCCGCACGTCCCCCCTGTCCACCCCCCCCCCGTGCCCATGACCATGCCCGTGCCTGCCCCCACAGTCCCCACCACCACCTCCCCCTCCTCTTCCTCCTCCTCCCCCCCTTCCACCACCGCCATTCCCACCATCGGCGCCGCCACCACCATTGCCACCACCCGTGCCGCCACCACTGCCGCCACCCCCTCCCCCTCCCGGCGAGGCAGAGGAGCAAGAGAAGTCAACCTGAAGTGAACCGCTGGAGAGGAGAGAAAGAGGAGGAGAGGGGGTGGGAGGGGAGGGAGGGGAGGGGGAGAGAGGTTGCAAGGGCTGTAGGGTTGCAGTAAAGAACCACTAGATAGAACACATGTAGAATGAAGAGCGTCTCGTGAAAGACATCTACCTGCCTGGCATTGTCTCATACGAACAGCCCTGTGCTTACTCATAGTCGCCGTGGAATCCAAGCGACGGCGAGCCGTCATTGGAGTGCGCCCACACGAGCGTGTTGCGGCCCTGCACGTTCACTGGCACTGAGCCGTCGCCTGAGGAGCGAGAGAACCTGAACCCAGGAGTGCAGGGAGCAGGGGGGGGGGAGGCGGGGGGGAGGGAGAGATGGGAGGAGAGGGGGTGAGTAGGCTATTCACACAGCAAGCTGCAGCAGGCTTCACTAAGGCTTCAGATAGGACAGCATGAAACCAAAGCGCCAACATGAACTCCAGAACCACCCTGTGATGGTTCTTTGTCGTACGCACCGCATGGTGTTGGATCCATACCATGACCCCGAACCCCGAACCAGGAATCCCGAAACTATGAATCCCGATTCACGAAGCACCCAGCCTTACTTGATGGTGGTGGATCCCGAGGCGGATGTGGCGACCTCGGCGGTGCCGATATCGAAGCTGCTTGTGGGCTGAACGTCGGACTGGCCCGTGCCGCTCATGTAGTACGCCTGGACGGACCCCCCGCTCGCACTGCCGATCACGGCATCGGACCCCGCCATGCCGCCCGTCGACGACCACCCCACTGAAAACCACCCGGCCGCGGCTAAGCTGCCGGCCGCCGCTTCGAGCGCGAAGTCGAGCTGCGATGAGCTGGCTGCGCGCCAATGGAGGGTAAGGCTGTGGGAAGAGAGAGTTTCAAGTTTGGCGAGAGAGGGGGCGGGAGTTGAGGCGCAGGGGAGGGAATAATTGTGAAAAAAAAAGAAAAAAGATTCATATGCGATACAATTCAAAACTGGCAGTAGATTTCTAGATTCTGACGCGTCGCTCGCTCTCCCGGGTTCCTGGAATCGATTCCCTCTCCTGTGCTCGTCGCATAAGTGCTGAAAAGAATAGAATCTCCACTGGTAATAATACCGCAAATTGAAACCACAGCGATGCCTCACCTCGAGCCCATGGGGACGGACGAGTTGAATCCGTCGAGCAACGATGACGCGCAGCCAGAGCTGCTCCCAGCCGCTGCGGCTGCTGCGGTGCTGCCAGCGCCTGTGCTGCGAGCGGGAGTCGGAGTCCCTCGGCCGGAGCTGGAGCTGCCGCCGCGGAGAAGGGTGCTCCCAGACTTCCAGATCGTCCGCGCTATGGAGCGCGCCGATTCTTGCACTCCCTGCGAGCGGAGGGCGGTTCCGCGCTTCGCGCCGATCGTTGCGGTGGGGAGGCTGAGCAGAGCCAAGGCCAGCAGCACGAGGAGAATGGCGCTGCTGCTGGCGGCTCGGGAGCCAGCCAGCGATGCTGCCTTGAGCCGAGGCATCGGTCGAAAACGAATTGTGAGAGTCTGCCGACAAAAGGTAGCTCCTACAAACGTGGCTTCTGCCAGGGTAGACAGTAAGTACGTCGGTTCTGACAGTGTTGAGTGTCACTTGTGACTGAGCTGACTTCCTTGCCCCAATTTATTAACCTCCTCCCCATCTGCTCTGCCTTCCAAGCCGAAGCGCACACAGGGAGCCGCACCTCGAAGCAAACAAATTTGGGAACTGTGATGGAGGCTTCGGCGAAACGGGTCATACTTCATCGGACATGGTAACTCCATCGTTGCGAAGAATTCTTTTGAATAGCGAATATCGCGTAATCAAGTTGCCATACATTGAACAGTGAGTTTTGACCGATGTATACTTGATTCACGCTGACCATCAAACAATTTCAATGGAAGAAGGCACGCTGACTCTCGCAGGGTTGACTCATCGAGGAATTCTGTGGAGACTCCATCCGAATACATACTCCATAACAGATGTCAAACTACGTTATGACAACGACTCACTAATAAATATTTGCAAATGTAAATGAAAATAGGCGTGAATAATCTTGCTCATCGATTACTCTCTCAAATTATATGTTTATATAATATATTTGTGTAGGCTTGGTATATGTGCCACATTACTGGATCATACTGTAGAGGGGACAACCCCCCCTTGTATCTATTCCTCTTCTAGTCCAACACTCCTCTCGTTAAGTCTTCCCCCCTAGCTAAACCTCTGGACGATCTCCTATGCCTAGATAGTTCCTAGGCTTATCTCCATTCGACATGGTACCAGAGCAGGCCGATCCTTCCTGTCCTCATCCTTCGGCAGCGTCCTCTCGCCCCTCCCGTCACTTACGCGCCGCTGTGGCGGCCATGTCGTGCCGCCACGGTGGCCTTTATGTGCTGTCGTGGCAGCCCCGACGTGCTGCCGTGGCATCGCCGCTACGCCGTGGCAGCGTCATCATTCTGCTGTGGCAGCATCGACGCGCCAGTGGCCAGCGCCCGGTTTTAGCGACGTCCAGCTCGCCCGCACGCCAGTAAGCGCCGCGCCAGCAATGGCGCCTCGCTGAAGATTCGCCCCCCCCTCCCCCCCCACCTTCCCCTCCTCCCCGCTGCAGCTGCTGGCGGCCTCGTGCTGTCCTCCCCCTCGTCGTCGCAGTGTGAGCCACGCCGCCGGGTGCCACGGACGCCGCCGGGTACCTGGACGCTGCCACCGCCGCAAATGCTGCAGGCCCTGCCGCCGCAGTCGCCGACGCCGCCGCCGCCGCCGCCTCTGCGACCCGCCGTCAACGTTGTTAGAATAACGCAATGAAATAGATTGTGCCATACATGGTGGTTTTGTGCTATGGTGCTGTACCCTATATGAGCATGCCCCTATCTAGCCTATAACATATACAAATACATGTTGACACACCCCCTAGGCTAGACAAGGGGAGGTGCCTAGCAAGAGACACGCAGCTCAGGGCATCACTACTAGTCCTACCTCTGAGGCAAGGGTCCGAAGACCAGTCAGAAGAGTACAAAAAAGACAAGAGCAAACCAGGGCGGCACTACTAGTCCGGCCACTGGAGCGAAAGCCACAAGGCTAGTCACGAGAATATAATAAGAGTAGTAGACAATCAAGGTCCTAGCAAGTGAGGAGCTACTGGAACTAGACCAAGCTGTACATAGTGCCGCTGATGATCTTTAAGCGCAAGCACCTCAGTAAATATATCAACTGTGTTGGCAGTGGAGGCCAAGTAAACTACGCGGGCCTGGCGTCGCTGCTGCAGCTTGCGCAGGAGGAAGTACCGCAGCTGGATGTGCTTCGCTCTGCCCTCCAGTCGAGGCTCCTGACACAGGAGGATCATGGCCCTGTTGTAAGCGTACAAGACCGGGGCAGAACTAGGCCGCTCACCTAAGTCTGTGAGCAGGAACTGCAGCCAGTGGAGCTCCTGTGCCGCCATGGCACCAGCGTAGATTCTAGCATTGCAGCTAGACTGTGCAATAGACGACGAGCGGATGGACCTCCACGAGACAGCGCCTGCACCAAGGCTAAAGCAGTAGCCCTGAGAGGACCTGAGCGTCTCTGAGTCGTCGGCCCACGAAGCGTCTGTGTGCCCGGTCAGGACCACTAGCCTGCGTCCTCCTAACACTAGCCCCATGCCCGATGTACTTGCTAGATAACGCAAAACCCTCTTAACTGCTGACTTGTGCCCCCCTTCGTTCTCCCCATCGCCTCTTTCCCCAGATTCCCATTCTGCGTACCGACATCGACATTCCCCCCTACTGCTGGCTCAGGGCGCCTGCCCCCCACTCTCAAAGTCGTGAGGACGACAGAGACGATGCTGGAGGCAGCACTGAAGGCAGCAGGAAAGAAGAGAACGAGAAGGTCGGAAGGAAAGAGGAGGGAGAGGAGAAGGAGGGGGAGGAGGGGGAGGATCCGGTGGTGAATGCGTGGTTCGGACCGGCACAAACAGTGACACCGCTGCACCATGATCTGTGCCACAACCTCTTTGCTCAGGTGAACCACCTCCCTTGTCGCACCGTGACCGAAAGAAAGTACGCTCGTGTGCTCAGTGCAGCAGCGAAAACACATGAGCTTGCTTCCTTAAGTGTCGCGTGCCGTATCGACAGGTGGTGAGCCGTAAGTTTGTGCGTGTGTACAGCAACATTTCCTCTCGGATTGACTCCTCTAATCCCATCTTCGTTCTCCCTCATTCTCCCCGTCTCTACCCGTGCTGCATCGCCAGGTGGCGGGACGCAAGTACGCGCAAGTGCTTAGCAGCAGAGGATCTTGAGTCAAATCATATGCCATCGTGCCATCCCCAGGTGGTGGGCCGCAAGTACGTGCGAGTGCACAGCAACAGAGGCTATTGAGTCGACTGATATGCCTTTGTGTTTCTCCTCTCTTCTATCTCTGTGTGTGCCATGTCCCCAGGTGGTGAGAGTGAAAGAAGCGGTGAGACGGCGGGTGGTAAAGGTGCCAGTGAGACGCGTTGAGAGGGAAACCAAGGAAGACACAGGGGACAGTGCGGGCAGTGAGCTTGTCCATGCCAGAGGCACGAACGTGAGCAAGGCAGTTTCAGACTTGGAACACAGACGCGTCACCAGGGAACCCGGTCTAGAAAAGGGTCGGAGAAACCTGTGGCCACTGGGAGTGCGGCCACATGTTAGGCTGGTGAGCGGCGTAGCGAACAGCGAACGGCCACCGAAAATGGGGTGCACCGACATGGATCATGGAGGTATGAGCCACCTCCATGACCAAACAGATGCATCGCTTAGCGACCCCATTCTGCTGCGGGGAGTCCGGCAGGGTGTACGATTGTATGATGCCCTCCGCACGGCAGAACTGGTCAAGCCGACCGGAGGCGAACTCTCCGCCACGGTCGGAGTGGAGACGCAACAGAGGGAGGCCGCGGTGGAATCGTGGAGCTACGACCCACATGATAAGAACATCAGGCACGTCGGCCTTCCGCTCCAGGGGAAACACCGTGGTGTAGTGCGTGTAGTCGTCGAAAAGCACTAGAAAGTAGCGCAGGGACGGGGGCTGGGCCCCAGACGTCCAGGTGCAGGGTCTAGAGTAGCGCAGTGGTAGGGGAGAGCGAGAAGGAGTGAGGAGCATGGTGCAGCTAGCCCTCGACACAAGGTGTGCACGGCGGCGCAAGCGAGGGAGGGAGGGCAGGGAGCAACGCAGGGAGACCAAAGACAAGACCGTGATGTGACATGTGACGCAGACGCGAGAGTGCGGGGTGACCTAGGCGGTGGTGCCACAGTAGCGACAGGTGAGTGAGCGACTGACACGAGCAAGCCGCAGCGACCTGGGTTGACAAAGGCACCGGGGGGGGGCGCCCTCACCAAGGGGGATGCACTGTCAAGCGTAAACAGGCCAGACACAGGGTCCTGGATGAACGTGGTCAGAGGAGCACCACTGGCGGCCTCGGTACAGACCGCGTACCGCTTGTGTCCGGGAAATGTAGTGGTGACGCCGAGGTCTTGAAGACACCCGACACCAACAAGGTCCCTGGAGAACGAGGGGATGTGCAGGCCTGTAAGAGAACCCGAGGGGACCGCCGAACAAGGAAGGGTGGTGGAGCTACGGGCAACTACCAAACCTGAGGAGGGGTCAGCAAGCACAACACCGGCAGGGGCGGCAAGAGGCGTGAGCGCAGTGAGGTCGCGGAAGAAGTAGGCAGACGCTCTCGAGTCGAACGTGAAGGAGAGCGAAGCAGTAGCTTCCACCGGCAGAGGGGCTAGCGTGGAGCCTAGGCTAAACAAGACAAGGGGTCCTATGCTTGACGAAGCAGGGGAACCTAGACTACACACAGGGGACACACCTACGTTAGGCAACAACAGGTAATAGCGTCCAATCATACTAGAGCCATCGGCATACATGGCATACAAAGCAGACCTAATCTGATCCATGTCGATCTCTATGACAGGCACACGACGACGCACCAGGCTGTACCAGTCGGGGGGGTCCACTATGGGGCTGAAGCGGAGAGGGAAGAGGCCGTCGAGGCGGTGGTAGCAGCGTGCAGCGGTGTGACCGGGGCGGTCGCAGACAGTGCTGCGGCGGGGGCCGGACTGAAGCTGGTACTGGCAGGTGACCACACTGGAGCCGCCACCTGACACCGAGCTGCGCCCTCCACCACCTGCATCGCCAGTCCACCATGGCGGCGGGGGTCCCCACGACAACTTCTGCTACTGAGGCTGCTGCTGCTGCTGCTGCTCCTGCTGAGGCTACTGCTTTGATGCACCAGCCCCGGTCCCCTCGTCTGCACCACCGTCCCTTCCACCACCTCCGCCACCCTCGCCACCCGTGCCACCCATCCCGCCGCCACGCCCCCCCCGGGTCAGGTGTACCCTACCCTGACGAGACTGCGCTGAGGCGACCGTAGTGGTCTCGGCAACAGGGGTCGTCTCAGCAACAGTGGCAAAGATGTCAGAGTAAGTGCACCGGGAGGGAGCACAGCCCTGGAAGATAGGGACCACCGCAGTACCGCTCGATTGAGCGATAGTCACGGTAGTGTCAGGGTCTCTATCGCAGTCAGGGTAGTGACAAAGTCAGTGAGTGTGAGGTCAGCCGGGTGGAGGGCAAGGAAGTGTTCGCGGGCAGTGGCTAGGCGGT